TAAAATATATATATTTTTAAAAAGTATGAAACTGACTGTAGAATCTCAGGAAAGGTGGGGGTAGCTGGGTGGGTGGGAAGAGATCAACCAAAGAACGTGTCTGTCTGTCTGTCTATCTGTCTGTCTGTCTAACTCATGGACAAAGACAATAGAGGGGTGAAGCCCTGGGGGTGGGGGCAGGCTAGAAGGAGTCAATGGGAGAAAAACGGGGACATATGTAATACTTACAATAATAAAGATTTTTTAAAAACATCTTTCCTTCACTTCTCTGCTTGGAACATTTTTTTATCTGCTTGAAAAATTCTTCAGAGAAGTCCCTGTTGTCCTCCTTCTATCGACAGATAAGCATATCTCCAGGCAATGCTTCTGGGCTCAGAGCAGATTCACCTGTGGGAGTCATCATGCTGGCCATCACATTTCCAGTTCTCCTCCGGGGAATATTATAGGATTGCACTTTCTTGGCTGCTGGCATGTGACTTGCTTCAGCCAGTGAAATGGGAAAAGTGGAAGTTTTAAGAGCCAACACATGAGTCATACACTTTCTTTTCCTCTGGTAGCTGCTCTGCCAGTCTTTATCCTCAAATAAGGATGACAGAAAGCAGAGCACCCAGCCAAACCTTGATATATCATAAACCTGGATATATCACAACGGTGAAAAACAAAAGCTTGTTGTTTAAGCTGCTGAGGTTTGTGCTTGCTTGTTACTGAATCACCCAGTCTGTCTTTAACTGATACACTAGCCCTGTGATGACAAACCTTCCATAAACTACCTAAAACCACCTCAATTCCACCTTACCCGATTTGTCTGCTATATTTTCTTTATACAACGTATCTGGTATACAACCAACTGAGCTACCTATCTGGCCAGGGCTCTCTTAAATAACTCTTGAATCTGGTTCTACTCCATCCCCATTGCTACCACTCTAGTTCAAATCCTGATCAGGTCTCAGCTGAGCCACTGCAAAGATCTTCTAACCAGCCTTTCCGCTTCCATGTCTTCTCCCTCCAGTCCATTCTCTACATCACAGAGTGCCACCCGGTATGAATTATCAGTTTGATCTGGTGTGCCTTTGCTACCTCTACTTTTTTTTTTTTTTGAAACCTCTATACTTTTACTGAGGCTTCCTGAGGGCACGGATGAAGCTTATTCCATTTAAAAAAATATTTTTATTGATTTTGGAGAGGAAGGGATAGGGAGAGAGAGATAGAAACATCAGTGATGAGAGAGAATCATTGATCAGCTATCTCCTGCATGCCATTTACTAGGGATCAGGCCCACAACCAGGACTGGGAATCAAAATGTGATCTCCTGGTTCCTAGGTCAATGCTCAACCACCGAGCCACACCTGCTGGGTTTTTATTGTATTTTTTATGTCACACCAAGTATAGTTTATGGCCAAGGCACACACTTTGTATTATGTGTATTCTGGATGTTCAAGGCCACTCTGAGCATGGGAATCCTAATCAGGGTGTTCAAGACTCATGTACCATATGCAGGTGCAAAAGCAAGAATTCAGACACTGCACAGGCATGCCCTTCTATAACCCAACAGACTGGGGTCACTATTTGGCAAGAAGCCTCTCTTGTCTGAGTTAGTATAAAGTATGTTACTAACTAGCCAGCGTGGCTGACTCCCGTATAGCTTCTATTCTGAGGACTGCATTTGGGGTAGACATGTTACAGACCAACTGCTGCTGACTGTTTTCCTAGGATGGCTCCTGTGTTTGCTACTGTATAGCAAGAATTGCTTTGTCTAATGGCAAATAGTTACTTGGATTGCAATAAATTAGCCATAGCTACTTGGACTGCAATGAAGTCTCTCTTATATACCCAGGATTTCTCATGTCTTCTGTCTTCTAATGCCAGGCATCCAAGGAGGTCCAGTCCCTGACAGAGGGACTCGGACCCAACAGTTGGCATAGTGGAATAGGATTCAAGGAGTGAGTACTCCAACAAGGAGTCAGAGAAATTTGTTTTGAATGCCAATTCTGACATTGAGTGGGCAATCACTCTGAAAAAAAAAAAGGAATAATAATATATACCCTACAGGGTTTTCCTAAAATTTATAGATAACAGGTGTAACATATATACAAATAATGGCAAGCTATAATTATTATTGTTCCCATTATTATTATAGATGGTGTTCAATTAGTGGATACATCTTTCATCGATTGAGGGGTAGTGGCCTGTGCATTGGGCTTGGAATCATAAATCCTGCATTTAAGGCATAGCTTTGGTCACCAGTTTGCTTTTTATATTCTCAACTATAATATGTAAATACTAATAGCACCTGTCTCACAGGGGTTTGATAAAATTTAAATAAGCTAATATAGAGGAAATGTTTTATTCATGCCCTAGCATCACACATTTTAAAACTGTATTGAAACAGATGATTAGCTGGCCCCTCACCTGCACAGAGTGCACCTTTGTGAAGCATCCCGTTGTGCTCCAGTGACATTTCCAACTGGACTGTGAGCTGTTTGAGATAAAGAATTATCTTAGTAATTATTTTTATTTTTAAAATTTTTAATATATTTTTATTGATTTCAGAGAGGAAGGAAGAGAGAGGGCGAGAGAGAGAAACATCAATGATGAGAGAGAATCATTGATTGGCTACCTCCCGTATGACACCCCCCACGCACCCCCAGGGATCGAGCCCGCAACCCAGGCATGTGGCCCTTGACTGGAATCAATCCTGGGACCCTTCAGTCCACAGGCTGATGCTCTATGCACCGAGCCAAACCGGGTAGAGCAGTAATTATTTTTAGTAAAAATGTTTCTTTCTCCGTATATAAGAGTAATACATGCTTATTGTAGTGAAAATAGAATTAAATGAAGAAAATTAAAGTCCTAGTAATTCTTGTCTGTTGTACAGAGATAACTAGTAAGTTTTGATGTGTTTCTTTTCAATTTTCCCCTCAGCAGATATACTTACAAAAACTGATATCATATCACAAATACAAGCATTGTCCCAGGTCATTACGTTGTCTTACAAAAATAAACATATATAAAAAATCTTACAGTTGAACCATTTTCCTATTGTTGAATATATAATTTGATGATACTTTTTCACTGTCTAAACAAAGTAGTAACAAACATTTTTGTGATTAGGTATTTTGATTTTCCAATTTTGTAGAAAAAGTTTTTAGGAGAAGAAATTCTGGGTCAAAGTGTACAGATATTTTTAATGCTCTTGAGACTTTCAAGTTAATTTCCAAAAAGGATTGAACCAAGTACCACTCCCATGAGCAGGTGTGAGGTTGCAACTTCTCACTATATCCTCATCATAATGGGAATTATAGTTAAAAATAAGATTAAAAAAAACCGTTTTTTAACACTTTTTAAAAATTTAAATTCTTTATTATTTAAAGTGTTATTAAATCTTCTTCTTCCCACCCCCCATTGACCTTTCCCTGACCGCTCCCACCCCCCAGCACATGCCCTCATACCCCTACTGTTTTGTCCATTGGTTATGCTAATATGCATGCATACAAGTCCTTTTGTTGATCTCTTACCCGCCCAACAACCCTTCCTTCCTTCTTAGGTTGGACAGTCTGTTAGATGCTTCTGTTCTATTTTTGTCCATCAGTTTATGTTGGTCATTATATTCCACAAATGATTGAGATCATGTGATATTTATCTTTATCTGACTGGCCTATTTTGCTTAGCATTATGTTATCCAAGTCCATCCATGCTGTTTCAAATGGTAAGAGTTCCTTCTTTTTTACAGCAGCATAGTATTCCATTATGTAGATGTACCACAGTTTTCTAATCCACTCATCTGCTGATGGGCATTTAGGCTATTTCCAAATCTTAGGTATTGGAAATTGTGCTGCAATGAACATAAGGGTGCATATATCCTTTCTGATAGGTGTCTCTGAGTTCTTGGGACATATTCCTAGAAATGGAATCACTGGGTCAAATGGGAGTTCCATTTTTAATTTTTTGAGGAAACTCCATACTGTTTTCCACAGAGGCTGCACCAGTCTGCCTTCCCACTAGTAGTGCCCGAGGGTTCATTTCTCTGCATTCTTGCCCACATTTGTCATTTGTTGATCTGTTGAGGATAGCCCTTCTGACAGCATCTCTCAGATGACTGGTGACTTTGAGCATGTTTTCATATGTCTCTTGGCGTCCTGTAGGTCCTCTTTCGAGAAGTGTCTATTTAGATCTTTTGCCCATTCTTTTACTGGATTGTTTATCTTCCTTTAGTTAAGTTGTGTGAGTTCCCTGTAAATTTTGGAGATTAAACCCTTATTGGAGATAACATTGGCAAATATGTTCTCCCGTGCAGTGGGCTTTCTTGTTGTTTTGTTGATGGTCTCTTTATTTTGATGTAGTCCCATTTGTTTATTTTCTCCTTAGTTTCCATTGTCCTAGGAACTGTATTGGTTTTCCTATGATATATTTCTAGTATTTTTCTTCCTATGGCTAAAGTCTTTTTAGATCCTCACCTGAGAATATTTCTTCCATTGCTTTCAGAGAGTTGAAGGTAAGAGAGTGAAAGGGAGGGAAGGAGAGAGACAGAGAGAGAGAGAGAGAGAGAGAGAGAGAGAGAGAGAGAGAGAAGAGAGAGAGAGAGATTGATGTGAAAAGGACATATCGACTAATTGCCCCCCACATATACCCCAACTCGGGGGTGGGGAATGAACTGCAACCCAGGTATGTGTCCTTGACCAGGTAATGAACTCATGACCCCTCTGTGTGCAAGCTGACGTTCTAACCAGTTAGCAACACTAGCCAGGGTGATTAAAACCTTGTTGTACAATAAATATTAATTTACATTTCTTCTATGAATTGTTCATTCCCCTTGCCCATTTTTCTGTTGGGATTTTAATTATATTCTTATTAATGTCTATGATGGTTTAAATATTTTATTCTAGTCAGTAAATATAATACAATACACATAATAGGTGCTCTTATTAGTTAATTGCTCTGGGGACTTTTTAGGAACAAAAGCAAACTTTCTAAGAAGGCTGACTCTTTCTTTTCCCACCTAGGACACAGCGGGGCAGGAGAGGTACCGGACCATCACCACAGCCTATTACCGTGGGGCCATGGGCTTCATTCTGATGTATGATATCACCAATGAGGAGTCCTTCAATGCTGTGCAAGATTGGTATGAAATCATTCATTCATTCATTCATTCATCAACCTTTTCAAGAAAACCCAAAGTGTGGTTTAGGCCTTGTGCTATGGGCTAGAGAAATCTGGATGAATTAGATTGGCTCCTATCTTTAGAAAAATCACACATGAGGTCAGTAAACAGGCAATGAAAATAACATGTGACAGGTTGAAGTGAGTCTAGGGGGCTGTGGGAACCCAGTGGAGGGCTCTGACCCAGCTTGGGGACTCAGGAGAAATGTCCTAGAGTTGTTGACATATGCTGCATGTTTAAGATGAACAGAAGTTAGGCAGAAGGATGAGCAGATAAGGATGTTCCAGAAAAAAATACAGATGTGCAAAGGCAGAAGGCAAGTTTGAGGACAGAAAGAGCAAAGGTCATGAAAGATTTTGCATCCTGGGGTAACAAGTTTGGAACCAAAGGTTCAGATGAATTTTTTTAAGAAAAATCATGGTGGCCACAGTAGTGAGTGAATCCACATACTGCTTCCCTATCAAGTTAGTCCCTGAGTTGGGCTAGGAGGCCAAGAGCACATCCAATCCAATCCAAGTTCATAAAGATTCAGCTCAAACTGGAAATCAGCCCAGCTTCCCAACGGTACAACCTCTGAGCCACTTACATCTTTCTTCCTGGAGCATCACTCACAGGGAGAAGGTGCATGGGGATAAAGACAGGTTGGAGGGAGGGGGGCCAGACCCATTGCCCCTGCCCGTGGAAAGGATGAGGATGGAGGAAGGTGGGACATCTGTGCTCTGGCTCTTCTTCAGAATCAGAGAAGCTGAGCAGGCCGGGCACACAGCAGCAGTGCTGGCCAGTGACAAGCTTTCCTCCTGCTCCCTTTTGCCAACAGCTGCCCTTTGAGGACTTCCCATTTCCCAAGGAGCTGTTGCCATGGCTATGTGAAGCACTCTTTGTGTCTTGGGGTCTTGATCTGAGAGTGGCCTTGCAGGCTGCCCGCTGCACCCACCTGCTCTAAGCAGCAGTTCTAAGCAGCAGTCCAGGGTGCCACCTGCATGTGTCTGCCTGTCTGTCATTCACGGCCATCTGCGTTCTCCTTCACAGCCTTTTGGTCATCTTCTTCTTCTTCCCTTTTCCCCCTTTAAGACCTCCCCTCTACCTTCTTCCTCCTTTCCTTTCTCTTTTCTCTTTACTCCCCTTGTTTTTTCTCCTCCTTTTTTTCCCCTTCAGTGATAATCCTCCTTTCCACCCCCCATGGAGTGATAAGCTCTTTGTTTAAGTGTCTCCACGCTACTCATTCCTTGTTGGCCTTAACCTCTTCCCTTTCTCCATCAGTCCGTGTTCATTCTGCCTCAGGAGCACAGTGACTGTAACACCTGGTGGTGATCCCTCCAAGAATAACCTGAGTTGCTAATCTGGGAGCTGAGTGGATGGGGTAGGAGGAGGGAAGAAAATGATAGGAAGAGTTCCATGAGGAAACAGGGAGCGTTGGCTCTGCTTACTGACTGGAGGCTAAAGCCTAAGTATCTCTCCCAAGCCGTGGCGGTTGGGTTTTGCCTCTGAGAAACTTGGTTCCAGCCTAAGCCCCCATTGGCCATCACGGCCAACAGTGCCCAGAATGGAACCTAGCTCTTTGTTGGCCCACAACAAATAGTGGTTGAGTGAATTCCATCCTTGGAGAGAAGGGCTTCTCACCCTGAAAGAAAAGGCTGGTGGTGGGATCAGCTTTGGGAGCAGGGTCTGCGATGCATCCAGTTTGTAGTTAGAATTGAGTCAGATTTAGGGTCAGTGTCAGGGTAGGGTCATAATTTTAGATCTGCTTCAGGATTAAGCAGATCTAAAATTAGGACCCTACCCTGTCTTATTCATTAAAATTATGACCCTACCCAGTCTTATTCATTCATCAGACAATCACTGCCAACTTCTCTAGTCGGTGCTCTTTGCAGGGGACTGGCGCCCCAAAGATGAATAAGCCTGTCCCTGCCCTCAAAGGAAGGACAGATACGTTCAGCCAAATGTAACAGCAGCCACCGTGAATGTGAAGGAGAACGAAAGGGGAAGTGGTCATTTCTACCTGGTGGGGTGGTTGGATCCAGAGTTAGGCCCATCCCCACCAAAAGATGTCTCCACAATAGAAGGGTCTTATTTATCCCCTCTTTTAGAATGTTGTTTCTAATTATAGAAGTAAAACATACTTACTTTCAAAATTTGAAAAGTACATAAAACTATTTTTAAAAGGCTTCATAATCATTGTAGATAAAAGAAAGCACTGTGACATTTTGGTTTCTACAAATAATCATGGTCTAAGGTTTATGAATCACAGAGGAGGGAGAGGCTTGCTGGGCCTGGGGAAGACTCCCAACAGGGAACGTTGGGCCTTTGAGGACAAGTTAATGTGGGGAAGGGACTCCCAGGACAGGCAAAGGCACAGCCATGGAAAAGCATTTGGGGGGAATGGGTGAGAAGGTTGTAAAGAGGGAGAAAGGGTGATGAGGCTGAAGAGGCAGGAGGTAAATGGTCTTTAACGCCTGACAGAGGGATCTAGATTTCATTGTATGGGTAGTAGGGAGAGAAAGCTTTTAAGAAAGGATATGGTCAACTGAAACCGGTTTGGCTTAGTGGATAGAGCGTTGGCCTGCTGACTGAAAGGTCCCAGGTTCGATTCTGTTCAAGGGCATGTACCTTGGTTGCGGGCACGTGCCCAGTGGGGAGTGTGCAGAGGCAGCTAATCCATGTTTCTAACTGTCTCTCTCCCTTCCTCTCTGTAAAAAAATCAATAAAATATATTTTAAAAAGGAAAAAGAAAGGATATGATCAGATAGATGTTTAGAAAGAGCCGTCTGTCTGCTGAGAAGAAGAGTGTGGGCAAATCCATTAGAAGAGGGCTCCAAAGAGCTCAGTAAAGTTTGCAACCAGCCGAAACCGGTTTGGCTCAGTGGATAGAGCATCAGCCTGAGGACTGAAAGGTCCTGGGTTCAATTCCAGTCAAGGGCATGTACCTTGGTTGCGGGCACATTCCCCAGTAGGGGGTGTGCAGGAGGCAGCTGATTGATGATTCTCTCTCATCGATGTTTCTAACTCTATCCCTCTCTTTTCCTCTCTGTAAAAAATCAATAAAAAATATATTTAGTAAAAAATAAAAATAAAAAATAATAAAGTTTGCAACCAGCACTCAAGGATCAGCATCTGTGACAGCTCGTTGGGGCAGGGATGTTTCTGTCCTCAGCTGAATTAATAGTAACTTGGTTGTTGCTATTTCCATGGAAGGGAATTGGTTTCTTCAAGCTTCACAGAGCCCCTTTCAGCCTGGGGGGTGTGTGTCATTAACATGGTCCTCTATCTGTCGCTCTTTAGGGCTACTCAGATCAAGACCTACTCCTGGGACAATGCACAGGTTATCCTGGTGGGAAACAAGTGTGACATGGAGGAAGAAAGGGTTGTTCCCACTGAAAAGGGCCGACTCCTCGCAGAGCAGCTGGGTATGTACATAACACATGCGTTCACGTGTGTGTGTGTGTGTGTGTGTAAATGTGACATTGGGGAGATTGTGAAATATGTACATACTAGAGGCCTGATGTGCAAAATTCGTGCAAGGGCCTTGGCTCCAGCTCCTGCCCACCACTGCGGCTGCAGCCCCCGCCCACCGCCATGGCGGGGCCTCTGCCACCTCCGCCACGGCCCTTGCCCGCAGCAGCTTTTGTCTGGAAGGATGTCTGGTCTAATTAGCATATTATGCTTTTATTATTATAGATGTGCTCTATGTGTTGTTTTATATTTATGTGATGAACATATAGCGTTGTGTTAGGTAATTTATGATTATATGCATATATTTTGTTACATTGAATATATAAGTAAAACTTAAAATTATGAACACTTTTTCACTAGCTCCTTCCACAAAGGATTTAAGGTGTTTTATAAAACTCATCATAGTACATTTTAAAAACCCTAATAAATTGAGAAAATTGGAGCAAAAGAAAAGCAAGCGTAGGAGGTAAATAAGAGGAAGCCAGCAGTGACATAAGTATGTATATTGTATCATGCTGAGTGAAATAAGCCCGTCAATGAAAGAGAAACACCACATGACCTCACTCATTTATGGATAATAAAGAACATTATAAACTGATGAACCAAAAGATAGATATAGAGACAGTAAAGCAACAAGCAGACTGTCAAATTACAGCGGGGATGGGAGGGAGATCTGGGGGAGATAAGACATCAACCGAAGGACTTGTATACATGCATATAAGTACAACCAATGGACACAAAACTCTGGGGAGGGTGGGTATGTATGGGAGGGGGGGGCAATGGTAAAATATGTACACAGATAATAATTTAATAATAATAAAAAAGTATGTATATTGTAAATTCTTGGGCATAAGCAATAATTGGCTTTGAGCTTCCTAGCAACCATTGCAAAGAGTGAAACATAATCTGTTACATGGTTCAGAGATGGTTCTTAAATTAAAACAGACCCATTATTCCAGAGAAGCACTGCTCTTCATTGGCACCTGCAGAGCAGACTCTATGTGTGGCTTGTGACAATGTCCTTAATATCAAACAACCCTATGGTAACTAGAGCACTAAACATCACAGCTTGTCTTACACTTTCTCCCAATGTAAACTGATCCTTCCTCACCAAAACGCATTTCACAACAAAAGTTATTGTATGAAGAGAGGAAACCGTGTGGCTTTAAGTATGCAGCTCAGTGATGATCTGGCTTTTTCCAGGGTTAAAGCATCTCGATTCTTGTGCTCCCTTGAGACCCAGGGGCCTTAGGTGTGTCTCAGGAGCCCCACTGCAGGACCCCTGCCAATACTTGCTCAAAATAGCAACTTTTTCTTTTCTGTATTAGGGTTAAATGTAAGACAGACTGAGAGAAATCTTCCTCTATCGCTTAGCTTTTAGCTAGTCTAAAAAGTTCTCACGTGTTGTAAGTTTTCAGAATGAGGAGGTTTAAAGTTATACTCTCTGGCAATTTCTGAAGTACCAATATATGGGCTGGTAGGTAGGTAAACTGTATAATGTCCAAGTGTGTTGTATATATTTGTATTATGTGTGTTGTGTGTTGTACATATTTATATTACATGTATTATGAATATGTGTGTGTTGTGGGAGGAGTCCTATGCTTCTTTCTCCCTTCTCCTATTCCCCAGGGTGTTCTGAAATAGAAACTAGCAAACTGTAGGTAAATAATAAAAAGGGCCCTAGCTGGTTTGGCTCAGTGGATAGAACGTTGGCCTGTGGACTAAAGGGTCCTAGGTTCAATTCCGGTCAAAGGCATGTACCTCTGTTGCAGGCTGCCTGCATGCTCCCGGCCCTGGTGGGGGGCATATGGGAAGCAACCAATTTGTGTGTCTCTCTCACATCAGTGTTTCTCTCGGTCTCTCCCTCTGCCTTCCACTCTTTCTCTAAAAATCAATGGAAAAAGATATCCTCAGGTGAGGATTAAAAAATAAACAAATTAAATAATAAAATGGAAGACTGAATACTCTTGGGTTGTACTGTTCTTATACCTTCACAGAGTTTTTCAGGATTCTGAAAGTACCTCCATCCATCTGTGGTTCACAGAACAGAAAGCATGTTCTGCCGCCCACACCTAGGTGATCTCAGGCTATCTCTTTATGTCTTCAACCTGCTGTCTCCAGGGAAACACCCAGCACGCTCCCTGGACCCTCTTCCTATGTCCCATCTGTTTGGGATGCTCTCTTCTGTATCCCTCCTCCCCCCCCCCCCCACACAGTTTTCAAAACAGCTCAAGCTGCACACTTTCTGTGAAGCCTTTCCTGGCTGCCCAGTGCTCTTTGGGTCCGCACTTAATGTACCCCATACAGGCAGCAGACACAGTGCCCGTGGCACTTGGGTGTACTTGTTTTCTATCTCCCCAAAGCCAGGAAATTAATCTTATTTATCTTTGTACCCACAGTCCTAGGATATGGCCTAGCACTGAGAAGATACTGCACAAACATGTTTTGATTAAATGTGTATTATGTTATGTATTTGGCTACTTGATTTTATTTCAATCCAATGAAGACTTCTGAGTACCTGCTCTATGCTAGGTACTGTGCAGTGAAATAGGATACATTCCCTGATCCGTGAAGGACAGAAACGGTGATACCCCCGGTGATCACTGTTGTGATAGAGGGATATGCCGGGGATTGTGGGAGCGCAGAGGAGGCACCTAATTCAGTTGGGGCCAGAGAACACGATGCCCGAGTTGAGGCATGAAGATAAGTAGGAGCAGCCAAGGGAGAAAGAGAAGCAAGATATTCTAAGCAAGGAGAATAATACCGGCAAAGGCAAGGAATAGCACTTTTGTGTTCAGGGAACCATCAATCTTGGGAACACATGTCTAGAGTAGTGTTTCCCAAAGAGAGAAACCCATGACATTGGAAGTGTGCTAGGTGATTTTATGTATATATTTTGGTATGTATTAGAAAAAATATGTAATCAGCATGTCAAGCCCTTAGAGTTAAACAAGACTAAGTTTTTAAAAGGTGAATTAGTGGAATATGATGAACAGCGTAAACTGATGAACAAAAATAGATCCAGAGACAGAGAAACATCAATCAGAACGTCAAACCTCAGGGAAGGTAGGGGACAGTTGGAGTTGGGAGAGATCAACCAAAGGACTTTTATGCATGCATATAAGCCTAATCAATGGACACAGACAGCAGGAGGATGGGGGCATGAATGGGAGGAGGGGGCTAAAGGGGGAATAAGGACACATATGTAATACCTTAATCAATAAAGAAATTAAAAAAAAAAAGGTGAATTAGTTTTATATTAGGAAAAAAGATATACAGCATACCAAGCCCTTATGACTAAGACTTTTTAAAAGTAAGCTGGTTAAGTATTAGGTGTTTACCGTGGGCCAGGCACTATTCTAGATGTTTTAAGATATTACTCATTTAATTCAATTCTCCTAAAATCCTCTGAGACATGTACTTTTCTTATCTCCAAGTTATTTATTTATTTATTTTTAACAGACTAGAAACCTGAGGCACAAAGAAGTTGAGTAACTTGCTTAAGGTCACAGAGTTAGTAATAGGTATAGTCAGAATTTTTTTTTTTTAATATATATTTTATTGATTTTATACAGAGAGGAAGGGAGAGAGATAGAGAGCTAGAAACGTCGATGAGAGAGAGTCATCGATCAGCTGCCTCTTGCACACCCCCTACTGGGGATATGCCCGCAACCAAGGTACATGCCCTTGACCGGAATCGAACCCGGGACCCTGCAGTCCCCAAGCCGACGCTCTATCCATTGAGCCAAACCGGTCCCGGCTATAGTCAGAATTTGAATGCAAGCAGCATCTGGCCCCAGAGTCTAACCACTTAATCACACTGTAGGGCAAATATGGTAATAATGGGTAATATCTATTGAGCCAAGCATTATACGAAGTACTTTACATTATTTCATTTAATTCTCAACATAACCCTTCAAGGTAGGTACTACAGGACATGTCCAATACTCTGATAAATGACGTTCATAGATTAAGTAATTTGCTCAAGCTTACATAGTTAGGAAGTAGTGGACATTAAGAGGCCAGGGTGTTGGATGGGTTGTCCACATGAAACCAAAAGTTCCTGAGAGTGAGAACAACCCTGCATGGAAAGGAAGACATTGAGTCCCTTGCCAAAATCATCAAGGATCAGAGCGGTAAGTTGAAGATTGACACATGATGGAGATAAAGAGGTATCAGAAAAGGATGGAGAAGGGATTTGAACATATAAGTGAAGGATAAAGGTTCTGGGAAAGCGTCAGGATGGAGGGATGAGTTTAGTAGGTTGCAAGTTTCTGAATAGAATTCTGAAGTCAAATTCAGAAGCAGGAAGTGTGGATGCCGTCTGTGGGTCTGTGACAGCTGCCTTTGGACTGGAAGAGGAAACAATCATTTTGGAGTGAAGGGAATCATAGTCAGTTAAGAATTGGGACCTATTAAAGACAGCAGAAATCCCATTGTTTTGAAGCCAATTAGAGGGAGGAAAGGACTGGGGTCTAGTCTGATTAATCAGTTGTCATCTTCATGACCTCGCTAGATTCTCAGCTCCTGAGAATCCTTACTAATGAACCTGAGGAAAAGGTTACCAACGGGGCTTACGAATGAAGAACCTTCCAGGAGACTGACAGTAATTAGATGGGGGTGCATCTGGACTTGTTCTGCTAGCAAAAGAGCTGGCTAGGCCTATGAGCTGGTTACTGGAATCAGAGTTCTCATACCGCCGGTACCTTTGAGATGATGGTGGAGACAAGTCTCGGCATGACATACAAGGTCTCCATGTTTGACCACCTACTACCTCATCTCTCATCACTTGGAGCTTTCTGCTCTAATGATAACAGACTACTCTGGTCATTCCAGCATAAACCAAGGCTGTTTTTTGCCCCATTGTCTGTGCTCATACTTTTCTCCTGTGTGCTGTACATGCATGTACTCACACATACACTCACAATCACGTGTCTTTATTTAGCTGATACCTTGTTAGGAATCAGCTTCTCCAAGAAGCCTTCCCTGGCCCCCAGGCTCATTTAAATAACGTTGTGCCCTGACAATTGGCTGGCTTCTCACCATTCCAGCTTTTATCACTGTAACATTGTCACTATGTCTCTCCCACACGAAGGAGCTCCTTAAGGGTAGGAACTGTTTCTGATTCACGTCAGTGTCCCCAGTGCCCAGCACAGGATCTGCCATGCTCATTGAGCTGAGTTCATATGACCCCCCTACTGTCCGCATCTCCTCATGCACATCCGCCATGCTCATTCCCACCTCCTTCATTCATCTGATCATTCTACCAGTATTTAGCAAGCACCTACTCCAACTGGTGCAGATGCTCAGATGAATGACATGGTCCCTGCTTGAGAGCTCCTGGTCAAATGGACTTCTCCATGCAGGGTGACATGTGCTATGGCAGAGGAAGCACAAGGAGAATGAAGAGGCCCCTATCTAAGCCGGGTCCTGAAACAGGAGAAGTTAGTTGGGTGAAGAATTTTGCTCAGTGCTGGCTCTGAAGGCTCCCATCCCCACTAACTTGTGGAGGCTTCCACCCCCTTTCCTTCCCTCCACTCTCTCCCTCCATTCCATTCCTGCACAGCCTCTGGTTTGCTCTACCTGGGTTAGAAATGTTCTAGTGTGTTCTATCACTGTTCCAATAGAGAGCAAGACAAGAGGGTATAAGGGATAGAGCCCTGGCTAATGCCCCATCTCTAAACCTTGGTTTCCCTATTTGTAAATTACAAGTGATAGCCCTTGTCTCACCTTAGCTCTCTCACAAGGTTGTTCTAAATTGTATTTGTGGCCCTGGCTGGTGTGGCTCGGTTGGTTGAGCATTGTCCTGTGAACTGAAGGGTCGCCGGTTCAATTCCTGATCAGGTGCATGCCCCAGTTTTGGGTGCATGAAGGAGGCATCTGATCAATGTGTCTCTCTCACATCGATGTTTCTGTCTCTTTCTCCCTCTCCCTTCTCTCTCTCTCTAAAAAAAAATCAATAAAAACACATTTTTAAAAATTTGTGAACTGTTAAGGACTATGCACATGTGAGGAACTGACATACTTTTGTGCGTTTAATTTTCATTACTGCCTTGTGAGGTATATGATATTTGCCCCATTCCACAGATGAAAAGACAGGCTTAGAGAGATTAGGCAACTCGCCTATGGTCACCCAATTGGTAGCTGACTGAGATATGTTCAAATCCAGGCTGTCTAACTCCTGGGCCTCTTCCCACTGCCCACCTGCTCAGTGTAGCATATCCTCCCCTCAGTGCCACTTCCTCAGAAGTCATCTGTGCTCATGGCCTTGACCTGTGTCCTCACATTCATCTACACTGATGGGTTAAGCCTATTTACTTCTTTATCTGTTTACTCCTTTCCTAGGCAGGTAACACCCCCAACACTTCCCCTGCCACTGTTGCTTGTAATAAACCAGTCAACAGCCAGAGTCTGTTTTTCCACAGTCCAGATACTCACTAAGGAAAAGCCACATGCTGGAGGGTCTCTGACGCTGACTAGCTTTCTGTGGCCTGAGGATAATGAGCCAGCACCTGCCTCCTTCTTCATCACAGGCTGAAATTAGCCTGCACTTCTGCAGCTTGTTGGGAAATGGGCCACAGGAGAAGCTGTCAGCTGAGGTGGGCTGGCAGGGGTTGTGAGCGCCATCAAGCTGGGATGGCTGGGGGAAGAGCCTTGTTTGTACCTGGGGGCTTCAGCCTCTTTGTAGACAACGGGATAACAGGGAGAGGAAGGAAGAGGAAAGGGACCATCCTCCTTTGTGGAAGATGAAAAAGAGGGAGAGGAGAGACGCAGATGAAAGAAGAGCAGAAAGAAGCTGTCATTATAACAGGCAACTTTTGTACAGCAATTTATCCATCACCTCACTCAGTCCTCCCGACCTCTCTCAGCTGGAAGACATTGTTATTATTTCTATTTGACATATGGGGAGTCTGAGACTCAGAGAGGTTAAGTAATTTAAAAAGATGAAGTGACTTGCCCAGATTCAGACACGGTGGTAGTCAGATAAAAGGAAAGGAGGCCAAAGATACTTGTAAAGGAAGAAAAAGATATGATCAGGGGGGAAAAGGTAAGTGAAAGGGAGAAATAGGAAGAAATAGGAGGCTGGGCTGTGTATGGACTTGGGAGCTAGCCAAACCCAGATCTAGACCCAATTCCACTAATACAGCCATGTGACCTTGTATGAGTTATATAATCTCTTGGAGCCTTTGTTTTCTCATTTATAAATTGGAGAAGATGCCCTGACCGGTTTGACTCAGTGGATTAGAGAATCGGGGCCTGCAGATTGAAAGGTCCCAGGTTCGATTCCTGTCAAGGGCATGTACCTTGGTTGCAGGAACATCCCCAGTAAGGGGTGTGCAGGAGCAGCTGATCGATGTTTCTCTCGTCGATGTTTCTAACGCTCTATCCCTCTCCCTTTCTCTCTGTAAAAAATCAGTAAAATATATTTTAAAAAATTGAAGAAGATTCTATTTACCCAACAGGCTGCTGTGAAGATTAAGTAAGAGGATATTTGTAAAACTCCTAGCATAGAGTCTGGCATATACTCGATGCTCAATAAATATTAGAGACCCCCAAGAAAAGAGTGCAAGGAACATAAAGAAGAGCTAAAATGAAAGAAAAAAAAAGGGGGGAAGAAAGAAGCTTTTGAGGAGAAATAAAGATGGGCTCCAAAGGAAGGGAAAGAGGTAGTTAGACAAAGAGGAAGGAGTAGGCTAGGGCACGGAAGTGATGGAGAAAGTGGCTTAGACTCAAGGGTTTCCACCAACCTGGCCAAGATTCCTCAGCTGAAAAGCAGCCACTTTGTCTGAATCAGGAGGGCCTTTCTTGTGTCTCCTAAGACAACCAAGTCCCATTCATTGTCACAGAAAGTGTCATTAAAAATCTCAAGGCATAGAACAGTCAGGAATGTCCCATGCTTTAGGTGCAGTTTTCTGAGGGCCTTTTGTGTGTGTGTGTGTGGGGGGGGGGTTCATTGGGGGAGGGAGAAATACAGGGCAACCAATTCCAGGGGAATTCAAGAAGAATGGACCCCACTGAGTGGTGATAAGAGCAAATAGAGTTTTGCTTATTCAGTGTGGATCTTGGGATGCCTCCCAGAGCCTAGACTAGTGCTGGCCAGACTAGAGGGAGAGGGAGGCAGGGGGAAGAGGAGGGAAAGCCCTGGTCAGAAAGGCCAAAGCCTGCTTCTCATACTGGTGCCTTATCTTGGGCAAGTACTTATCTTGGGCAAGTCGGTTTATTTCTCTAAGCCACAGTGTCTACATTAGTGAAATGGAGAGGGTCTGCCTGGACCCTCTTTCCCCCAGATATGACATCAAGATCAAATGAGATAATGGATGTGATAAATGCTTTGGAAACTGGAGAGTACTATGCACACATATTGAAATAGCCACTCTGTTAGAAATTATACCCAGTGACTCTCCTCTATGTCAGGCACAGGGCTATACACTTCACATTCATTATTTTGTTTAGTGCCTTGAACTGATTCTGTGAGGTAGGTAAACTTATCCCTATTCATAAATGGGGGCATTGATTCACGAAGAGAAGAGGTGACTTTCTGGGAGTTACACAGCTGGTCAGTGGTAGAGCCAGGCTCTAAACCAGTGCAGGTAATCCCTGCTCTGTGCTGTCTCCTTGAAGCAGAATTCTCTGTCTTTGGGATTAGGCCTCCTTGCTTCTCCCCTGAGCACTGCTACTGGCTGTATTAATCCCGAGTGGTCTGACCAGGGGGCATGAAAGGGAAAAGGAAAATCCTTATCTGTATCTCTCTCCTCCGCAGGGTTTGACTTCTTTGAAGCCAGCGCCAAGGAGAATATCAGTGTGAGACAGGCCTTCGAGCGCCTGGTGGATGCCATTTGCGACAAGATGTCTGATTCACTGGACACGGACCCCTCCGTGCTGGGTGCCTCCAAGAACACCCGTCTCTCGGACACCCCGCCGCTGCTGCAGCAGAACTGCTCGTGCTAGGCAAGGCCCCATCCTCCCGACCTCCCCTCCTTGTGGCCCCACACCCACTCTGCTTCCCCTGTTACACTCTGTCCACCCCAGCCCCACGCCAGCTGCACTGCTGCTGTCCTTTGCCTGCCTTGGAGGTGGAAGCATGCCCGAGGGGTTCTGTGCAGATGGCCCCACTCACAGACACTCAGCGCTAGACTAACAGCCAGGTTGCAATGCGGGCGGAGATTCACAAAAAGAAGACTCCATTTTACAAAGGGGATTCACGACAAGGACTTGGGAAGCAAATCTCTTTCCTGCCTTTAGAATAAGATTTCCTCCATTTACCGTAACTTCACACACACACACACACACACACACACACACACACACACACACACACATTTTCCAGGGCCTGGCCAACTGTGTCAAGTGAGGCCCACCTGCACAGCAAATCCTATTGAAGAAAACCTCCCCATACACGACATGCTTGTTTCATACCGGGCCCCCCTGGTGAGCTCCCTCACACCACAAAGTCAAGCTTAGCTCTCCAAGCCCTAAGTCTGTTACCACGGATGCTCACAGGGCCCGGGCAGTTGCTGTGGTGACAGGCCAGAGCTAATCTCCAGAAAGCTCCGTAATGATGCTGAAGGAGCAAAGGCTGAGTCAGAAACACACTTTAAAGAAAAAGCTTATTCCCTTGAAAAAAAAAAAAAATGTCAAACGCTCCTGCTATATGAAAGAGCAAGCCAGGGAGCTCGGGAAAGAAAAAAAGAGAAACGCGGGCAAGATACAGAAGCAGGTCATGAATTTCTGAGGTTGCTGCTTTCCAGCTGGTTCAAAACTGTGGGAACTCTATGGAATCGGTCCTTGGTTCTTAAGCTCCCAGAATATGAAAAATTTAGAGTGGGTAGGATCCCAAATTTGACCTAGTCTGACTAGTTAATTCCCATCCGTATCTCTGACAAGTAGCCGTCAGGCCTCACAACCAGATCTCTTCCCCTAAAGCACACGTTCCTGGTAGGGACCGGAGCTCATTGTTCACACCATCTTTGGGCAGCTCTCATAATCAGAAGGTTTTCCTTGTGTTAAGCTGAAATCTGACCCCTAGAAATTCCTCTTCCTTTTCTCACTCAGTTTGTACTAGCTCTGCTGTCAGAGACCTCACAGAGTCTGACCCCTCGGCCCCATGACACCCTGAGGTGACTTGAGAACAGAAGTCATGATCCCTCATGAAAGGGACCTGCCCTTTCTCTACGTCACGTAGTTCTACTTCCTTCCGCCAGTGGCCATAGGATCTTCTCCCCATCCTGCCCTTTCTTCCAGCCCATCTTTCAGTGACTCCTGGGTGGTCCCAACTGGGAAATGTGGTTCAAAGCAGAGTAAATCTAAGGCGGAGGGGGGGGGGGGGCTTGACCCTAAGACAAATCAAGAAAAGTAAAACCTCATATATTTATTCTCCCCGGAGTGAAACCTTAGTGTTTACCAAAAATTGGATGTGAAACCACTCTGGGAGGAAGCTGCTTAGTTAAATACCTGAAGAAAAGAAAAAACACGCCAAACCCTCTGACAACTAGAAACAAACTGAATGGGTTAATTCATGATACTAGTTTGTTTGTAGAGACTGCACTTGTTTAGTTTTTAGTTGAAACAATGACATGGAACTAAGTGATGATTTCTGAAAATGTTTTCTTTCAACCCTGGCCTGAGCTGGGTGTTCCCCTGCTCTAACATGCTGGCTTAAAAATAGATGAGGGTTGTATGTGTGTGTGTGTGGGAGGGTGGGTGGGGGTGGGGGGACACGTCTCTTCCAAGTTTTTTCTCCATTTCAGATGCACCTCATTGTCCTAGGAAAGTGCATTAACTAGCAACAGGTTCAAAGACTACATTCCAGTATAAGGACCTTTCAGAGTTGGCCCCATGGAGATGCTGATTTTTCTGATCCAGTGCAAAGGACAGAACTTTGGTCTTGAAATCAGGAGAGCTGGATTCTGCCCTTAAATCAAGTGTGACACCAGACCAGATACTCCTCTTCTCTGAGTCTTGATTTCCCACTTACAAAGTGAGGGGGATTATTTGGATAATCTTTACATAGCTTCTGGCACTTATAACTCTGTGACTCTTTTTCACCTTCATCATTTCAGTTGATTTGCAAAATAAACCTGAGGAATGAGGATTATCACCTCAGTGTCATTGTAGCTAACCCTGATGTCATTGTTCCAAGCACTTTAGGTGTATTAACTCATTTATCTTCCCAACATTTTTGTAGGGAGGAACTATAACCAACCTCATTTAAACATGAGGAAATTATCTAGCTTTCCTAAAGTCATGGAATGAATAAATGATAAAAAAAAAAAATGGGTTCAAACCCAGGTGGTAGGTTCCAAGGTTTGTGCTCTTCGCCCCATTCTGTGTTCCATTTCTTATAAACTATGATCCAAAGATGTTAAGAGACTTGGCCAAAATCACACAGCTAGTAAATGTTAGATCTACACGAGGATTCAATTCCAAGGCCATCAGATTTCATGCCTACTAGAGAAAAGATATGTCTCTAATCTGTTAACAAACTGCTCACTGATTTAGACTAATCTGAGGTGATGAATATCTAACACTCTGGAAAGCAGACTCAGTCTCTGAAGCAACCAGATCCCCTATGTCTGAGCAAAAGATGCCTACTGCTTCTCTGGCTCAAGCACTGGCTTTCCCTGCACCTGCCTCTGTCAGGCAATTCTTTATTTTTATTTTGTATTGATTTTACAGAGAGAAAAGGAGAGAGAGAGAGAGAGAGAGAAAGAGAGAGAAAGAGAGAGAGAGAGAGAGAGAGAGAGAGAGAGAGAGAGAGAGAGAGAGAGAGAGGAAACATGTATTTCTTGTTCCACTTACTTATGCATTCATTGGTTGATTCTTGTATGTGCCCTGACCGGGGATTGAACCCACAACCTTGGCATATCAGGACGATACTCTAACCAACTGAGCTGTCAGGCAATTTTTAACTAGCTCTCAAACAATGCTTTAAGCAGCCTCCCTGCTCCAGCAATAGGGCATTTTGGGGAAGTGACTTGTCTAACTTTTCTGACCATGAAAGAATGTGGTCCCCTCCCAGGGAAGGCGCTCTGGCTGTGCTGTTCACACTGTCAAGTCCCATACATGTCAGGGATAATTACTATTTTTCTGGGCAGTAGCATCCATCTACCTTAGTACTAGGATTTCAGACTGAGCTCCTCATATTCCCCCTCCCCCCCCCCTTGGATATTTCAGAACATATATCAAATAATCTTTTTTCTCTTACTGAGTAGCCAGGCGAAGATTGAAATTTTTATTTAAAAACTGTCAAATTCTTTACAACTCAGGAGCTGGTTCAAGGGAGCAAGCATCTTTTACAACAGATGGAATCAAGAGTTAAATATGATGGTGGCAGACTCTTCTACCGGTGACAGAAAAATAGACCTGCTTATTAGATGGCAGTCCCCCAGCCCTGCTCTGTGACCTCATTTCCGCTAAGTGGACTGCAGCAGCTTCCAGCTGATGGCAGCGCATGTTCATCAATCACAGTAATAGCACAGTTAGCCACCGAGGTTCAAGCTACATAATGTGTGTGCGTGGCAACGTGCCCTGGTTTTCATCTTGTTTAAAAAAAAATCCGAATAAAAGAAGATTTAAAACACACACCATTTTGACCTTGAAAGAAACAAAAGTAGGCCAAAAGTACAATGCAGTATTGTAGCTATTTATAGAACCTGTTTTAAATGCATGTGTATCTGTAAATACAGAGTGATTCGTGACATATTGTCTTCTCGGTCTGTAACATTATTAACTTCCAGAAGCAAGCAAGGAGGTAGAGGGTACTGAATGGTCACAGACTTGTCGAATATTAGATATGGAAGGAAAAGCTCAGAGAAAATCTTGTCCGGGCTCCCTGTTATACAAAGAGGAAGATTGAGGTGGAGAGAGAGAGGGAGGAGATTTCCTAACGTCACTCTGAGAGTGCATTTATGATGGAGACAGGAATAGGTCTTAGATCACCTCTGGGAAAAAATTCACCTATTCCCTATATATCTATTAAGGGCCTGGCATTATTAAATATTAGGTAAAGATAAATGAAAACAAGTGATTCCTGCCTGCAAGGATCATTATAGTTTAATGGAGGTGTTTCTAAGATATTATAATCCGGATTTGGCAGGCAAGGAAATAAAAGACTTGGAAACGTTAATATGCCTAAGTCATCCACTAGGACCATTGGAACCTACCTCGGTCTGACTCATGCACTTTCAACTTTCCTCTTCAGATAGTCTCTTAGATGAAGGTGATATGGGATGGTGGTAATGACACACTCCCAGGAAATGTCAGAGTTGATTAAATAACCTCAGTTGGGACATTGGTTTCACAATTGCTTTGTGACTGCAGCCTTATAACATTCACAGAATATGAGTTCTCCAGATCTGACTCACATCCCCTGCTCCTGGCCCAAAGCTCTTTCCTCGAGTGTCTTAAAGAATGTTTGCCAACTGTTTGGGAGAAGGGGGAGGAGTTACAGCAACCAGTGTCCTGGGATCTCACTGATTTTAGATTCCCCACTCCAAGCCTTCACCTGATTTCCTGTCACAGCTGGCGATGAAGAGTATGTGCAAGAGACAGGCCTGTGGGTCACAAAAACTGCTAAGTGATGTTATTGAAAGCCTGGATTCCTTATGTGAAGTAGGCAAAACTCAAATGCATTCATTCAACAAATTAGTATCTGATATGTACCAGGATACATTCAGTGGCAGATTAGATACACTCCTTGACTTCATGAAGGTTAGATAGTCTAATGCAGTGATTTTCAACCTGTGTGCCCCAAGAATTTTTTAACACATGCAACCAATACCTGACTACTTAATCAGGGGTATTGAGGTGTTTTCCCTTAGATTGCCAAATTTAAAAAAATGACAATAGCCAACACAACAATAGCCATCTGGTCTGCATGAATCAAAATTATATTTATACTAGAGGCCTGGTGCAGGAAAATTCATGCTCTGGAGGGAGGGAGTGGGGGG